GGCCACCCGCCGCCCGCCGCTGCTTCATCTCCTGCCAGATCTCCGTCACTTTGGCGTGCATGTCGCGGATCTGCTCCTCCATGCCGAAGCCGGGCTCCTGCGGGTCTGGGTTGGTCCAGGCTTCCGAGGCGTGTGTCGCCATGAGCAGGTAGGCACACAGCAGCGCCAGCATGGCTGGAGTCGGGCACCTGCGGGCACCCGAAGGGGGTGGGGGCAGAGCGAGACTTAGTCACTGGAAACCTGAAATCCCAGGGACCCTGGTGTCCTTGAATCCAACCTCCCCTCTCCCCACCAGGGGGCTTCCTTGCCCAGCGTGCTTTTGTTCTTTCGGCCCCTGTCTCTCCAGGGCCTGCTGTGTTCCAGGAACTGTATTCGTTGCTGTGGTGGTAAAGATAAATGAGACATAATCCCAGAAAATTCACAGGAGTCTTCCTGAGCCACAGATCTGAGCAAGGACCTCCCAAGCCCCATCTCCGTAGCATGGGGATTCTCAGGACAGTTTGCCCAGGGGTAGGGCTTGTCTCCAGATACATGAGGGAGGCTCTCATGGCCCTTCCAGATCTCCCTCTCCTCGTCTCTGCCCCTCATCTCTGCCCCCCTCCCTCTGCATCCTCTCTTGCAGGCATGGGTGAGGCTTGCTGCCCCTGCCTACTTGCATTTCTTGTGCCTCTTCTCTAAAGTGCCCTACCCCTCTTCCCTGTCATGCTCTGTAAACTTGAAGCCAGAAACTAAGTTTTATTCATCAGTATCCCCAGCATCTGGGCTTGCATCTGGCAGCAGGAGACATTTAATATGTAAATGTTGAATGAGGAGTTCACTGAGAGACAGACATGTCATCAAATCATTCCAGTGCCATCCTGTGATTGAAGATGGAGCGTTGTACTAGGAAAGGACAGAGTAAGTAGTGCCCATCTCCCTGGGAGACTCCAGGAGGGCTTCCCAGAGGAGGTGACTTTTGAGGGTCTCACAAGACAAGTAGCAGTTTTTCAGCCAAGCCAGGTCAGAAGCCCATTTCAGGCAAGAGTCACAACTGGCTGTGAAAGGACACAGTTCATTTTGTGGGTGGGGGAAATTCAGTGTGGCTGGAACATGGCCTGTGCCTCCAGGGAGGACTCAAGGCTGAAGAGAAAACTTTGAGCCAGGGATTGAGGAGCTGGGTTTGCTGTGCTAAGGTGTGTGGCTATTAGCCAGAAGGCTAGTGCTGGTGGAAGTTTCTAAGCAGAAGAGTGAGTGTTGAGATAGTTTTTAGTTTATTAACTCTGGAGAAAGTTTGAGCTGGACTTCAGGGATGGAGAGGACAGTGAGAAGGAGTGGGAATAGCCTAGGGAGAAATAGAGACACAGAGGAGAAATACAGGCAAAAGGAGGTACTTTAAGAGGCAGTAGCAACAGTTCAGACCAAAAAAGATGAAGGCTTTTCCTGAGATGGAAGAAAAGATAGAGGAGGGCATGGGTTCAGGAGACATCTTGGCTAGCACTGGCAGCAGGGAAGAGGAACTGAGGATGACTGAGTTCCCAGCAAGAGAGACTGGCTGGCTGGATGGTGGTACCAGGCCCCGAGAAGAAGGGAGAGAGGGCGAATTCGGCCTGAGCCTGCAGAGGACAAGATGCTGGTGACTGCCCAGGTGAGATGTTCAGCAGATGGCTGGAAACAAGGGTTCTGGTGCTTGGAAGGAGCAGTGGCTGGAAGGGGTTCTCAGTGTTGGCTGCACATCAGATTCTGGTTCTTACAAATCAGGCACCCAGGCCTCACCCTAAGGGATTCTGATTCAGTGGGCATGAATTGTTTTGTTTTGTTTTTTTAAAGCTCCATCAAAGATTCTGGGACCCAACCATAGAATCAGTCACATAAACTGACTGTAACATCATGGGGGAAGTTACTGACTCTCTCTTGGCTGTAAAACAAGGCTGATAATACCACCGAGGGCCACTGGGAGGATTAAATGAGATATGATACGCTAGGCTATTTTCCCATTTTAAAGTCTGTCCACAGGGATCAACACTGCCTCCAAGGGACTGGTTTAAGGATCAATTGCACTTTCAAAGGCCTTCTCCAGTCCCAAAGCAGGTGCTATTTTAAAATTAGATTCTGAGGTTGAGTGTTTATTCTTTCCATAACCATTACAGAAAGGCAGTCTAGTATGGTGATTAAGAGAATGGAATCCGAAACTTACTGGCTGGATCTGAAGCCTGACTGCCACTCAGTCTCTAAGGGTTAGCTGAATTGCTATTTTCACTTCAGAGCAGCAGAGAAAACGCTGGACTGCAGACTCAAGTTGGGCTCTCTCCCTCCTCTCTGGGCCTCAGTTTTCTTACCTGCAAATAGAGGTAACAATACTTCCCTTAGAGACTTGCTGTGAGGCTTAAAAGACACAATTAGAATTGCTGATATTCGGTGAAGACAAGGGCAGGCACTATTAAAAGCACTTTGCATATGTTAATTCATGTAAGCCTCACAAAAACCCTATAGGATGGGTGTTACCTTTATCCCCATTCTATTGTGTGGGAAACTGAGGCACCGAGATGAGGGGCAAGACCCTAGGCAAGGGTCTTGCCCGAGAGCTTATATATTCAATAATGGCTGAGGGCAAGATTTGAAAGTGTGTGGTCTGTTTACCTAAGGCACTTAGCCCAGAGCCTGGTATGTAGAAAATTCTCAGTTAATGGCTGCTCTTAGTAAGAAACTGCTGATAGATTTCAGGACCTGAAAGCTGAAAGATGCTGTTGAAGCCGTGGGAGGAGGACGTAGCCAGGAAAGGCTCCGGAAAGGAGTGACAGGTAGGGGGAGAAGTCTAGAAAGTGACCTCAAAGGAACCACCTCTGATGTAGCCTGGTTACTATGGTGAAGCCCCAAGGAGTGGGTGCAGGAAGAAGGGGACCAACCCTGAGGCCAGACCTTGGCCTCAAGCTCTCCATCATCATCAAGTGACCATCCCCCTCCTTCTGAGCTGGTCCTGCCCTTCAGGAGGGCTCTGCCAATTGGAAGATTTTTTTCTTAAAAACATAGAGCAAAAACAGATTGTTTTGGATGTGGCCATTCTTTTGAAGAGTGATTGGGTATTAATTAACACTTGAAGGAGAAATTGTCCTCTTAACAAAAAGCAAATTCTTCTTGGATCCCGAACCAGGGGAAGTCCTGACTCCTTGGGTCTTAAACTTTCCCTTCGCGTCCTGGAGGCCAGCCTGCAGAAGGCTCACCCTTCCCACACAGTCTCCCACTTAGTTTGAGCTGTGCATGGCCAAGTGGCTTTTTTGAAGGCTTCACTGGTCCGGAGGTGGGGAGGCCAAGGTTATCACAGCACAAAGACAATGCAAGCCACCAAGCCGGTGCCTCCTTCCTGGGTCTGGGTTTGGGAAGACTGCACACCCCTGAAGGCTCTGGGAGGTTCTAATGCCAGGGCTCTCTCTGAGAAGGGCCCTGACTGCAACCCTAAGTCAGCCAGCCCCACCCCCACCCCCGTGTGCCTCTCCTAAACAGGTGGCTTTTCCAAGCCACCCACGCCAAGCAACATCCAGAGAAGCCTCCTTCCTCACTCTTATCTCTAACCTGAGGACACCAGAGTCCTCTCGGACTGGCCTTGTTAGATCCCAGAACAGTCACTTTCTCCCCGGTTGCCTGCCTCACCTCTCTCCCTACCTCCCCACTCCTCCCCTTCAGAGCAGCTGGGCCCGGTCATGAAGTGTGTTTCTCTCCCCAGAAGATGAACAAATACTCTTCCAAGAAGAGGTCGGATGCCCCGCCCCAGGAGCAGACTCAGTAAGCAGGCTCTGAGAAGCATGAAATGAACCTCGACTTGGCACCCACCTTTCCAGCTCTTCCAAGAGAGCTTTTCCTCCTGAGAAATGGGGAGCAGCACCCTGCCGCAGGTCGCAGGAATGTGGGCAGACTCCCGGCTGTTTGTGGCCGCGCAGGGAAGCAGCGGGAGGAGTGGTCACCGCGAGGAAAGAAGGTCATTGGGCCGGCTTAGGGAGGGGAGCAGGCCGGGCGGGCCTTGCTGAATTGCCTCACCTCTTCCAGCTCTGCCCCCTCCTCCCCCCACCTCAGTTCCCTGGCCCAGTATTCCTTTTCGTGACTTCACTGATTCGTGCAGACGTAGCAAGTGACCTTCAGGGTGCAGCAAGGGAATAAAAAGTCGACAAAAAATAGCCTGTTTGGAGAGGTGTACAATGGCCTCTTTTCTTGAGAGGCCTTTTGCTCTCCCCTGATTTCCTCAGCTACTGATTTATTTTTGCTGGATGCTTCTAAGGTGGAAATGGACACCCTGCAAATGTGTGTGATGTTTTCTCCAGAATTCTGCTGCTGCACCTGTGAGAGGTGAGAGGCAGGTGGGGTAGTGGTCACACTGTCATGCTGCAGAATCCCGGCTGCGTTTCTTCCTTAGGATGTGCTCCTGGACCAGCTCCCTTTGCCTCTGTTTCATCATCTGTAAAATAGGGATATGAGGCTAACCCGGTGTCCGGCACGTAATCACACTCATCCTTTGTTCTCACTTCCTTATTCAAGTGATGGAGGAGTCTTTTAAAAGAGTGTGTGGTCTGGGAGTACCATGAGTCTTTCCCTCCCCCAGGGGCCTTTCTTGCTTTGCTACCATGATCTTTCTTCAATCACAGAAGCTCTTTCCAGAAATAGAAGCTCTCCCCTCCCCTAGAAAAGCCCACATGGGAAAAGGCAGCTTGCCCGCCTGCCTGTCTGCCCTCCAGTCTTCCTTCAATAAATGCCTAGTGGGTGCTCACTCCACTGTGTGCCAGTACCCAAAGCTGCTTGCGTCCCTGCCCTCTGGGGTTCATGCTCTGGGGAGGGTGCAGCAGTGTCAACAGATCCCTCCAGTACAGAGTGGGAACAACAGCTGGGATGAGGGATGGACAGGGTCCCTAGACACCCAAACACTGGTCCTGGCCGCAGGAAAGCTTGTTCAAAACACTAGACTTCTGGGCCCCATCCCAGGCTGAGGGAATCAGTTGCCAGCAGGGCTTCCTGGAATCATCTTTTTAAAAGCTGGTTATTCTAGGGGACAACCAGGCTTGGGAACCTCCACTTGGCAGGAAGAACTCAAATTAAAGATCTTTGTCCTGGGGCAGCCATTTCGCAAGACAAGATTTCTGGGAACTCAGAGCCTCCAGCCCTTTGCCCTGACACCAGTCCTTCTGGCTCACCGAGACCCGAAGCATCATCAGCGCAATCCTTGCCTTTCCGCGGTCTGTTGATGGGCATGGGTGCTCTTGACAATGACTTTTCAGAGTTCCAGATGCTACCAGCCACTCTTCCCCACCCCAAAACATTCTGGTTTCTCATTGTGAACCTTTCATCCAACTTAAAAAAAAAAATCTGTGTTTCATTCAGTTCTTGAAGTAATAAGTATACAATTGCATAACTATTATATCAGGTGGCACTCTCTTGACTTAACCTAATTTTGTTTCTTTTAAAGGCCGAGAAAGATTTCCTCCGTTACAGTAGGCTAGGATTGGTGTTGAAAGTTTATATTCACTTTCCGTTTTATGGAATTCTACAGGAAATGGGCCCTTTTTTCCCACCCAACCCTGGCAACATCCATTCCTCTTTCCTTTGGCAACAGCACCCCAATTTCCTGCTTGGGAACCACTGTGTTTTCAGTCCGTGCACGAGTATTGCTCCAGAGGTGGGCTCCTGACCAGTCATAACATTGCATTGGTTCCGGGATAATCTATTCAGAGCCAATGAGATGCAATGACATTTCTGCTGGGACTGTGTTGTAAGAGAGCCATCTTCTCTTTCCCAGCAGACTTAAAACTGGAGGAGAAGGAGTGGCGTTATTGCCCCGACTAAGGGAGAACCTGTCTGAGGATGGGGCGGTGGGGAGAAGTGGAATAAAAATAGTGAAACTTGGATCCAGTGCTCTGTTTGAGCCCCCAGATCCAGCTCTGTCTAAAACTCTCTTTTCATTATGTGAGTCAAATACGTTCTCGTTTTGCTTAAGTTGTTTGGGTTGAGTTTTCTGCATCTGCAACTGAACACTTAACAAAACACTTTCTTGTGTAGAATTTATTTAATGCTCCAAATAATTTTGTGGGATGGGTGTTAATTTGCCCACTTTATAGACAAAGAAACGAAGTTCGGAAAGACTAATTATTCTTTCTGAATAACAGGTCAATTATACTTAAAGTTAAAAAAAAAAAGGTGGGGGGAGAAGAAATAATGGGCCCAAAGTTGCAGAACTAGAAAATGGCAAAGTCAAAGTTTCAACACAAGACTCTGATTCCTAATCCTGGCCCCTTAACCATTGCACTTTATTACCTCCCGGCCTGAAGGGGAGATGGAAGAAAGTTAGAAACAAGTGCGTCTGCACCTCGGAGTTATCTCTGTAACATCGGTGACTGCTCTGCAGACGGGACACCTAACCACTGACCTGTCGTCCTTGCCCCACCCATCAGTGTGTAACATCACAGAAAAGCAAGTGAGCGTCGTAAAGCAGCCGTACTAGGACATTCAGTCAAAAGCCTCCTGTCTCTGTAGAAGAAATTTCTGCTTGAGAACGTTGTACTTCTTTTACCAGGGGTATCAGTTGTGAATCGCTTCTGTTTTATCGTGCTCAGAAAACCGGTAGCATTAAATTCTACCATAAAGAAACAAAGTAGTTACCACGAGGAGAAGATTTTGAAAGCAACCGTTAGGGCTTCAGGTTGCCTCCTTCAAAGGGCAGGTTCTGAGTGAAGACAGTTTACCCAACCAGAGTACTTCAGACATATCCGAGGATACGTCAAGTGTGACTTGCCTGCCTGAGGTTCTCCCAGGAGCCCCCTGGGGAGTAGAAATGGGATCAGGGATCTGCACTGTTCAATCTTGGACCCTGTTTCTTTGTCTAAACACATCAGGGTAATCTGGGGAAAAGGAGATGCTTGTTGGCAAGGGGGACAGGGAGGAGAGAATCATCATTCTTATTAACAGTCATAAAATAATACCATCTCACATGTATTAAGTGCCTCTTGCGTACCAGGCACTTGCTAAGTGATTTACACGCACCTTTTCATTGTAGTAATAGCAATGCTCTTCAGGGAAGAAGAGAGACTGCATTCTGTGTCCACACCATGTTCTGGGAAGTTTCCTATTCACCGTGAACGTGTCACCCTTCCGTTCAAATGTGCGTGAATCAGAAGGTGATGAAAACCAGTCAGAACCAGGAACTTCTCAACTGGTTACACTTGGCTGGCCATGTGAGGAGAAATCCAATTGTAGCACACAAAAGCAGTGCCTTTCTGACCAGAAGGTGAAAGTGTGCAAAGTATCCTCTCAGGAAAACACCAAAGTGGAATCCCTCCAAGCTCAGTTCTTCATGGCCTCAGACCCTGCCTCTGGTTCCATTTTCTGCCCATACCTGTGAGAGTACACTTAGGTCATTACTGCTTTGCCATCTAAAAACAAAATAGCAGTGTAAATAATTTAAAAGCATATCCATTGAAGTGCTTATTTCTTCAAAATAATTGCATGGTACACTCCACTTGGGGAAAGAGAAGCATTTTCAGCTTACTTTCTAGCCATATTTGTTTTAAAATATTTGTTGACCCAGTGGCCACATCTACCCTCTTCTTGCTGCCTGCCTCCCACTATAGGAGCTGGAAAGCCAGGCACTTGTTTTCCCAGCATCCCTTTCAGCTAGTGGTGGTCATGTGACCCAGTTACAGCCAATGAGACATAACCTGATGTGACTTTGGGGAAAGCTCTTACTTTCATTATAAAAGAGACAGAAATTGTTGGTGCTGCCTCTTTCTCCTTCTTGTCTTGAATGCCACTTTGATGCCTAGCAATGTGACAGCTACCTTGGGGACTATAAGATGGTAAGAATGAGAACAAAAGCCAACATACACAGGATGAAGGGTAAAAGGTAAAAAGAAACTAAGTCCTCAAAAACGTTATTGAAAAAATTAATTAAATTAAAAGTTAAAGAGGGTGAAAGTGTCTCACTGAGCACCTTAACCAGCACCAGCACAGTTCTAGTCTTCTTGTGATAGGAGAAAATAACCACAATGTGTTTCACTTTTAGTGAGTTTCGGTTACTTGCAGCCAAATTCATGCCTAACTGACATGATTATGTGCCAGACTCTGCACTGGGGATCATGACTATGAAGATGTAGAAATCATAGCCTAAGTTCAAGTGGCTTGTAATCTATTTGAAGAGATCTATATATGAGTGACCATAGAATCCTCCCCAGTGTCACTGCCATATTTTACAAATAACAAAACTGAGACCCCATGGTTAATTGACTTGTCCAGTGTCACCTGTTAGGTGTAGAGGAAGGACTTGAGCCCAGGTCACTGAGCCATCAGATTGGTGACCTTCTACCTCACCAGTTCTGAGGCTTCATAGACCATCTCATCACCTTTGCCCTGCTGACCCCTCTTACACACACCCTGCAGCCTCACCATAAGGAAGAAAAACTCTCCCCACTCAGAAGGCTAGCCTGTCCCCACCCGTTTTCTCCATACCCTCAGAATGACCAAACTAACAGAAAAGATGGTGAGACGCACAAACACTGTAACATGTAGAGAACAGAATGTAGGGACAGAAGTGATAAAACATTCTCTCCTCCTAGGATTATAGAAAATTGACGCTAGAAGGAACTGTAGAGGACAGAGAGGTCCTCTGACTCAGCCTCTATTTTAGAAAAGAAATTAAGAAGTAGACAGGATTCAGAAAGCCTCAAATTTGAAGCCCACAGAACAAAATAGAGAAGCATCCATGTTTCTCTTTCAGAAAAAGAATCCAGTCTGGTTCTGGCCCTTCTTAAGTGATGGTCTCAAATGGAGTGGGTATCAACTCCCTTCACAGCCTCCAAACCACCATTACCTACCAAGGCCACCTGGAGAGTGAATCCACAGGGGCAGCAGCATCTGGAAGATGAGAAGGTCCTGTGTTATAGCTCTACTAGTATATTTTGAATCTCATTTCACAGAATTTTGGAGCAATATTATAAAGCAATCAACCTC